TATTCTGTTCAGATTAGCATAGTTTTTAATAACTATTATATTTAGTTATATTTACCTTGTGCCTATTTATGAATAAAAAAATAAATCCCCGTGAATGATCTGTTGCTCTTTGTCTTTAAATATATGATGTCCATGTAGGTGAAACTTGGTTAATTTTGTCAAAATTCAACAAATATGTGAACAACCTTAAATTGTAAGGACTTGTCTAAAGAAAACCAAATAAATCCAAGTCAGTGGTTGGGAATAAGTTTTTAAGAGAATAATTATTTTATTTATTATTTAGAATAATTTTATTTATCATAGCAGAATACATTTCCTTTGTATCCATAAATAATTTTCTATACTTAATGTTCCACTATGTTTACAGGTGGCACAGACTGGTGCCTGGTTACAAGAAGGAGTGCAGGTTAGCAACATTTTGTGCTAAACTTCAGAAATTCAAAGTCAAAGGACTAAATCAACTTGACTTTGATTTAGGTAAAGTTTTCCTCCAGTTTCCTTTCAAGACGAATTTCATAATTTAAAAATGTATCTGGTAGAAAAAAAATTCAGCAGCATTTTTTGACTTAAAATAAGCAGCCTACCATATGCCAACTAGCAGACTGCTATCTCTGCTAAAAAGCTAGCGAATATCAATTTACAGGCAAAAGGCACATTTCTTGTAAGTAATAAGTAGTAAATCTAGCTGGTATTATATTTTGCTTCCTACTTTCACTGCTATGTAAATTTCAATATTAAAAATAAACATCAGCAAAAAAAAAAAAAAAAAAATAAAAAATAAAAAAATCACAATTACTGGCAAAATGTATCCTTAATATTTTTACATGGTAAATTATCTTTTCCTTTTCTGAAGCATTTGTAGTTGTCTTATATTGAGAGTACATGAAATACTTGCCTGAGACTGTAAACTGGGAGATTGTTGACACCTTTATCTGTTCTCCCATTCTCTGTTCCTTAATTGGTATTTTAAACTAAACCTAACTCTCCTCAATTGAAACTGGGATCATATCAGATCATAGGTAATTGAATTCTAATCTGACTAAATGATTGCATTGATCCAATTATCTCTAGTTAAACTGGTTCGGTGCGACTTTTGATGACATATTCTTCTATGTATGAATAAACTGAACAGAATCGGCATCAAACGTAAAATATGGAAATGTTTGTTTTACCAGTTTGTTTACCAAGTTTTGGTTGACTCTTTCAATGTCATAATAATGTCAGATACATTTCTGCTCAACGTCATCATATTCTCAGAATGCCTTACTCTTGAATACAGATCGGCGTCTGCATATTCCCATGCACACACCCGCTCTTGTCTGTGCGCTCTCAGACCTAATTGTCTAAGCCCCCCGTCCTCGACTCCCCCACCTCTCCTTTTGCTGTGAGAAAATTTGCTGAGTGCCAAATGAAATAGAAATCAAGTTAAGTGTAAAGCTCAGAGCAGGGCGGGGGAGAAACAGGGTGAGGCGAAGCAAACTACACTTGACCGCTCTTGACAATGGCGCCTGCTCCCACCAAATTCACATTGATTAATTAATTAGAATCTCTTATTAGCAAATTGACTGTCTCAGCCGATTATCAAATTCAGTTTCTTTATTAGATGCAGCTGCAGTGCTGGTGCCCCGATGCTTGGTGTCTGCTCTCCGTCTGAGGCCGGTCACTCAGCTCGAGAGTCGCACTCATCCAACCGGCTGAAGCAGTCCTCTGTGACCAAACTGTCAGACACAACCGATGATGGTGTGCAAAAGTACATTCTTGGTCTGAGTAGCGACTGTTGTGCATTTGAAGTATCATACTGCACAGAGGTTAAAAGTTCACGCCGGTGTAATGCAGCTGTATGGATCATGTGCACTCAGAAGCCTCTGGTTATTTGACTTTGTAGTTTAAAAAGAAAAACGTTGCAGACTTCTAATCATTTGCGGGAGTGGTATTGATTACTTATTTTACTCACAAAGCCTTTATTTGTAAAAGTTGTCCATATTTGCAATAGACCAGCACATTCTTGTTGCAGACTGAAACTTGTTTAAATCAACTTTTTGTCCTGCAAGGACATGGTGAGCAAGCATTTCATTTGTCTGTTGTGCATTCATCGCTGGTATGCGCTAGCAGGAGTCATATGATGATTTGAAATGGCGATAAAATGAGCAAACAAGGAAACAATCATCTCATTGACCTCTTGACTGGCGATATGTTGGCCTTAGCAGCATTCTGTACCTCCACGCAGTTATGCAGGCATCATAGATGACCCTGTGCACCACGGCTGAGCTAAAAGGACCAAATCGAGCAGCACATATGCAAACAGTGTTAATATAACAGTTGCCTCATAATGGAGCCGATGGATATCTATCTTTTTTCCTACAGCGCCAATAGAGTGGAAATAGTTCTCAGTATGAGTTTGCTGGCGGACTAAATACATGGGACTGTGTAGGGCCATTGTGACCAATGTCTTTGTCCAGATGGTTCACATACCTTTAGTTGTGCTTTGGGTGAGGAATGCACTCCCTCGGGACAGTTCCCGACCCTGGAAACAAGGGCCAACATAAACACCCATGCCCAACCCCCACTGTGGCCCTCACCTACAACCCCTCCGATCCCTGTCAGAGCTCATAATGAGGTTGCAGCAGGATGAGGACTTATTGAAAACCTATAGAAATGTGACATCACACCTCCGACTGTTGGTAGCAGTTGTAATCTTCAGCTGGAAGTGCTTCCATCTTTCCCACAGGTTTACAAATGACACTTTTTGAGCAGAATTGCGGGTGTCGGAAAGGGTTTGTCACTTAATGGTGTTGGGATGCAACATACTGAGCAAAATGTGTGTGAATGCCAGAGAGACACTGAGTGTGGGATCACCGCCCGACTAATTACCTATAAAATGTGGTTCCTTCCACTTAAAGTACAGCAAAATGCCACAGCTCCAAAAAACAGGCATTAGTCCAAACAGGAAGCATGAGAGCCCGATCTGGAGCCTCCATTTCAGCCGTCCTACAAACAGCGGCTGTGATGGAGGGATGATTCGGTTCCATTATTACTAGTAAGTGTTTAGTTAATTACAATCTTCCACCAGTTTAAAGAGGAAACAGTTGGACATTATAGGCTGTAAAAAATGATTTTCCCCCTTACCGACTGGTTCTGTTTCTGTTCAGATTGTCAAACAAATTTCATTACCAGTCAAAAATAACCTGATCAAATACAGCATGCAGAAGGTGAAAAACCTTTACTAAATTAACCTCGCCTTTTGGGGAAAAAGTAAATACACCCTAAAGCTTTATCACTGCTGATAGCAACAACTGCCGTCAAGCCATCAAATAACTGGCAATGCGGAGAAATTTTGGCAAACTCGTCTTTTACAGAATTGTTTTAATTAAGCCACACTGGGAGGTTTTCAAGCCTGTTCAGTATTTCACTAAGACTAAAGTCTGAACTTGGACTCAGTCACTCTGAACCCTTCCTGCTGTCTGGATGCATTCAGAGATGGACTTGATGGTTTGCTTTGAATCATTGTTCTGCTGATTAATCCCAACGTTTGCAGTTTGAGGTCACAGGAATTCACGGTTCCTTCAATTACTGTAAGTCATCATCAGCAAAGAGGCCACAGACCGTAATGCTGCCACCACTTGTCTGAATGTAAGAGTCATGAACCCTGACCTCTGTGTAGGTGTTGTTCTGGCCAACTTCCTGGATGAGCTGCCAGTCTGCTCTTGGAATAATTTAGAAAGGTCAGCCATTCCTGGGAATGTTCTGCACTGCTTCCTGTTTTCTCCATTTCTGGATAATGGGTTCTGGCCGTGGTTCTCTGGAGTCCAAAAGCCTCAGACCTGGGTCTTTCAGGAGTATTAGACACCTGCAACTTTGCTTCTTGTATTTTCTTGAAATGTTTTCAGACTGGGGTGTTTTTATAATCTTTCGTCCTCCTTGTCTTGGGACATTACCTGTGTCTCCATCAACCTTGTTTATGTACATTTTGAAGCATTGCATTAGAAAATTTGGATGAAAATGAGAACATTTCAAAATTACTTCCTCATATTTGCTAAAAAAGTGCTCATGCTCGCTTGAGGTGGTTTTTGGCTTTTCTGAAAAAGAGTTAATGCGCTAAAGGGGAGATGGAAACATGTTTTCTAACTAAGCTTCAATATAACAAACTTTCCGTCTACTGGTGGGTTTGTTCCTTACCAGAGGCACAAAACTCACTTTAAGCCCAAAATGTCTAGCATGCAGTGCAGGACTCGCTCCATTTTTCTGAGATGTGTGCTCCGTGATAGTTTTCAACCTGTACATCTTGTTTGTTCCATCCATGCGTAGCGTCAACGTCTGACGAAACTTTGCGTAGACACTTAATTCGCTCCAAACATGTGGATGAAAAACACACTTAATTTGAATTTTCCATGTTTTTTTTTTTTTTTTTTTACATTTTAATTCACAAGGCTGTTTGGATGGAAACATAACTATTGTGTTTACAATTGAGTCCAAAGTCATTTGTACTCCTGGCATATACATGTTTAAAATCATGGTTATGGAATTGATTTACAAAGATTAGGGTGATGGAAAGGAGGCCTTCTGTCCTGAAGGGTTTGGACCACATCACCACAGTTAAATCATCATGAACTCAGTAGAAACATGGAAATTGCTGCTTGGGAATTATTCAGTCAGGTCTGCTGTTTTACTGGCTGCGTTTCGAAGAGGAGGACTTGCTGTCTTTACGTTACATTTCCTCTCCATTGTGCTCCTGCTTTCCTTTTTACTGCCTAACTTTTGGGTTAATAATGACGGTAAAATAATCTCTCATTGTGTGGAACAGAAAATGAGTCCTTTTTCTATTAGATACATTTTAAACATGAACAAAGAGAAATGTGAAACGGAGCAAAATGTGTTATGAGAATAAAAGGAGACCTGTCGCTCTTGGCTGTAATTTGTCCCAATATAATGGACTGAGGATCATTGAATGGATGGGATGTGATCCTGAGTATTGCTGCTGCTGCTGCTGCTGCTATGAAATCCTTTGTTTTTGAGTTTGGCTTTAAGGGTTTCTCCAAAACTTGGAGGATGTCTGGTGTCTCCTTGTTATAGCACCGAAGCTGTACATGCCATCAAAGCCAGGCACATTTAAAGCTTTGAAAGCAAAGGCTGAATAAGTTTGAACTGCTCTCATGTCAAATTCTCCTGGATCACTTCAGAACAAGTGGTTTTTTTTGCAGGATTCCTGTGATAAACAGAAAGATTCCTAAAAGCTTTTATTCCGGCTTTATTTTTGAGGCATCAAAGAAGCAGAGGAGGCGAGCTGCATCAAACCAAGACCAGATGTTAAGCAGCTCGGTTGACAAGATTCACTTTTAAATCAGTGGGGGGAACGCGTTGAAATAGGCCTGGGGTTAGAAAGAGGCTTCCGGCCGGTACGAATGTTTCTAGTCCCCTTCTACGCCTCCTTTACCTCCTCCTCTGCATGTATCGAGCACCACGCTCCCTCGCACATCTGTCGGCATGTATCCGCCGCTCAATCGCTCTCCCTGGGCCACGGCGGGTTCCCTAACAGCTCAGTGTGGCTCTTCCATTAATCAAAGACACTTCCAGTGTCCCATTACAGAAACACTGCTACTCGGCCTGTCTGAGGCTGACAGCTCACCAATTCATCTTCTCTGCGGAGGAAAAAAAGAGCCATTGTGGCATGCCAGTCGCCTTTACCTGTTCAAACCGAGGGCTGTTAAGAGTGCAGGAAGACCCCTCTGAAATTGTTTTCTCTGGGTCAGGCAAACAACAAAAAAAAGGTAAATTGCTTGTCTCAGGTAACGCGCAGGGGGAGTCAGCTGGTGGCAGGCGGTGCACACAGGGGGCTGGGGGTGCAGCGGGAAAGGGTCAGCGACAAAATAAGAGGATGGAGATGTGTTTGTTAAGAAGCAGAGTTCAATGAGATGCAGCGACGCATTTTAGCAAAGCGGTCTAAACGCTGTCCCGACACCACCGCCGCCGCGCCTCTGCAGAGGCTGCCTGCCTCTAAATACATCTCCTTATTCGTCCCCTGTCGCCTGCAGACGGCAGGTCAGGGTGTTTAAGTTCCTGGCGATAGAGAGCACACTGTGGGGAAACATACAGCTTTAATGTATTTCCCTCCGCCAAAATGGGGGCAAGCAGATGTTTCTGTTTCTGTTCCAGAATCCCTTGAAAAATGTTCTTGTAATTCTGTGTGAGCTCTAATTAGCATTCTTTAGCCATGTTTATATGATTATGGATAGTTGTTTTTTTTTATCATGCATACGTAAAGACAAAAAAAAAGAACTTCATGTGACTGTCAGTACAGCAATAAGAAAAAAATGGAACCCTGACATTTACTATGGTTATGGACTTCAACTGAATCCCTAACATGGTGTATTTGGTAACACAGTATTTGATGGGTTGTGCATAAGACTGACAAGACACTGTCATAAACATGACATAACACCTGTCATGAAGATGAAGACTTTTTCATGAATGTTTGTCATGAAATGCCATTTGGTAAATAATGACACTTTTAATGCAAATGTGCATAAAAACTTGCTTTAAAAAGTCCATTAAAATTGTCAATTTTGCATTGAAAGTTTTTTTTTCCCCTCAGTATTTTGAGGGGAAAATATTCATAAGTGAAAAATATCAAAGATGGCTGCCAATTTTCTCAGGTGTAAATTGAGTCCAAGTCCCAATGGTGCTGGAATCAAAGGTAAAAACAAAACCTCTAAAGTTTCAGTTCAGCATGGGAATGACTGGCCACAATGAAGAGCACAACAAACCCAACACATCAGCAAAAATGCTTGTTTTCAGCAGTGAAGCACGGCGGTGGTGAGGTCATGTTTGGGGCTTAGAGTGGCTGGGGAACCTTACAGGCAGTGAACTCCTCTGTAAACCAAAGTATTGCAGATTGACGTGTGAGGCAACTTAAGCATCAACAGGACAACGAGCCCAAACCAACCAGTAGCTCTACAACAGAATAACCAAAAACAAGTGGGCTAGTCAAAGTCCAAATCTGATTGAACCTCAACTAAGTGAAGTGCTGTTGGAAACAGGAATGGTTCAGAACTCGTCCTCTATGATATGAGAGATGTATAAAATCAGAAATATATGACTACTTTTGTTTGTCTTCATGACTCTTTATGTTGCAGGCGTTTGACCCAAAGATGCCATGCAACTTGTTTAAAAAGCACAGGGCAGATCCAAAGTGTGTTCTACAGGAAGGACTCACATGAAGTTACGTCCAGGGGGCTTTAGCAGTTCCAGTAAATAGTCTGGATGTGAGAGAATCTCAGTGGTTAAATGGTTTCCTCCTAGTCGGTTATTCTGAAGTACTTTGCTGGTATCCTGCTGTAAATAGACCGCACTGTGGAGTTCAGAGGTAAAAGACAAAATAAAATTTTAAAACCTGCTTGCATTTGCGGACTGCGAGCTACCTGGTTCAGCGTTTTTTTTTTTACTTCCTGGAAGAAGAGGAGTGGTGAGTGGCTCATTACCAACCTGAGGTACAATCTGAGAAGCGGAGGAAAAAAGAAAAGCTCGCCATGATTTGTCCGTTTCCTGACAGCCCTGTGTGATTACGTTGCTCTCATTAAGATCAGATCTTTCTCTTTTAATGAACACATGGACGGAGAAAGTGAGCGAGGCTAAATGAGAAAGGACAGCTCTTTCCCTCCCTTCTCCTTCCTCCTCATCCCTCGCTCTACTTGATTGGCATAATGAGGTGAAGGCTAGTTGGCACAAAGCTGCTCCAGGGGGCAAATGGAGACATTATTATTGTGTGTGTTTGCGTGTGTGCGTGTGTGTGAGTGTGTGTCTTGGCGATCACACCCCAGCTCCACTGGGCTATTAATTACCCTTTCTGTAACATGGCATCTGCTGAGACGGGGCGATTGAGCGAGCATCGCTGCTCTCTCTCCGGTGCTCGTCTCCGCGGACCCCAGCTGCAGTTTAGCTCGCCGCTTATTGGATTCCATCTACATGTATGATTGATTCAGCACCTGATCTGTGCTTTTCATGACAACAACGCCAAACAAACACACACACACACACACACACACACACACACACACACACACACACACACACACACACAATATGCAGAGGGGAGGAAAAGCAGCTCAGCTGGCAAATATTTAAGCAGGAGACTCTGTGATGCCCACTCTGCTCTAGAAGACCGGGACGTTTCACAGGCAGCTGTTTAATCTGCTGCTCGGGAGCAGAGAAACGACAAATCATTTCTATCAAAATAATAACTAAAAATGTCACTCAATAAACGGATTTCTGTCATACAATTAAATATTTTAAGAGTTTTAGTTGATTTTGATGATTATGGTTTATAACTGCTAAAATTAGAAGAAAATCAGGAGCAATTGAAGCGATACCAAAGCCTACTAAAGGAAGGTTCAGTGGAAGGAAAAAACTGGTTGAAAATGTAATTTATTTATTGTGTTAAGCCACTGCTGAACCGGAGACGATGTCACGTGTCACACTCACTCTAAAGAGAAAAGGACTGGAATGTTCCTCAGTGGCCCACGAGCCTGATTTTAGGTAAGACGCACTTTTAATTAAAACTCAGAAATTCATTTTACTTAAAATTTTTGTTTCTGTTTATATGCTTGATAATTGCTACCATCTAAAAAGAATTAATTTTGTCAGAGCAGTAGAGGAAATCCAGGAGAAAACGTGAGCTGTATTCAAGGATATTTAAGAAAAATCCAGTGGAGGAAAAAACTGTGGTGGAAAATACGATGTGTTTCTTGTGATAACGCACGTCTTGCTTGGGCTTAAGAATTAAAGGATTGAAATGTTCCTCAGCCTCCAAGTCAAAGTGAAATCTGCATCAAAACTTAGAAATTCACCAAAGAGTGATTGATTTTAACCTTTGGTTGTTATTCTGTTCGATGATTATGGCTTAAAGATGAACTAAAGTCCAGTTTCTCCGAAAATTAAAATGTTCCCTCTGCAATAGCCGACGAAGCTGGCTGTTCAGATTTCTGTACCTGACCAAATATAATGGAAAGTTTAGTGGCAGAAAAAAATGATGGGAAAAGGGTGCATCAGCAGAATTTAATTCCATAATCCTGTACATTAATAGATAAAAACGCATGAAATATATTGCACTGTGTAATTAATTTATGTAAAATACAAGTTTAGCTTTTTTTTTATTTTAACTAATATCAGAAATAAATTTACCAGATATATCTGTATTTGTGCTTTTTGGTCTGAGAAAATATGTTTTTGCTTGTCCTTTTAATGCACATCTTGTATATCTAATCTCTGTTGCCTGCCTCTTTAACAGAGGCAACGTGTTGTCTCTCCAGTGTGTGTGTGTGTGTGTGTGTGTGTGTGTGTGTGTGTGTGTTCTCTAACTCAGTGTGTATCTTCATAGGCTTTGGGTTGTTGTTTTGCTTTTATATTCAAAAATACATTACTGGCTCAAAGGGAAATAAATAGTTTGAACTCGTATAATTCTTCAAAGAGTTTAAGATGATTTATATGATCCGACAAGCAGACCTGCTGTCAGGTATCCGTTCTGGTTCTGTCAGCTCAGACGCTGTTAACAGGAAACTGAGCTGTGCAGTAAGTGCAACAGTCGTACTTTAAAAGGACTCAGTAAAAGGAGCTTTCGGTTAGCTAGATGTGTATTATAATACACCAGCCAATCCCTGCAGAGCGTCCCACTCACTGATCCAACTTTGATCTGCACTGATCCATCCTGAGAGGAAAAAGAGGAGTGTTTCTGTTTACTATGCATATTTGCAAAACTCTGGGCCCTTCAGAACGAGCACCGAGCTCAGGGCAGATTTCTTGAGCAGACAGCAGGATAATGAAGTATTATGGAGAATATACATGACTTTATTCAGGTACGGCCTCGAGAGCATCTGTAATTTTGCCGCCGCTGATCAGATCTAATGTTTACTGGATGCATCTCCTTTTCTCTCACGTTTAACCCTTTATTGAGATCCGCCAGCTTCAGATGCGCCTTCCATCAACATTTATTCATTTGAAAAGACCAGATTTATAGTGCTGCACAACAGGTGCATTATGGAAAGTCTTGTAAAATTCTTATTGTTGGTAGCTGTTAGTTATTGTCAGACCAGTGTTTCCAGGATGTGTTTTAGTTTGAACCGAACTCTGCATCAGGGGGCTTGCCGGCCGAACCTGCAGTAGATAAATCAAACAAGAACAATTCACACCCGGGTTTCACAGACTGCAGTTATCTGGCCCATCACCGATCTTTGAAAAACCCGAGATGCCGACAAAATTGCTCACTTGGCAACAGTGTGGTGACTAAAAGAGGACAGTGGTTGGTTTTCAGACCTTATCAGCGATAGATAATACCGGTGGCCGTCAAATGCCGTCATCAAAATCATCAAGCAAATATGCATCGCATTTACTGATCAAGTTTCCAGTTATTAATAATCAAAGACAGCTCTAAACAGGTGGGTTTTTATCCTGGATTTAAAAGAACTCAGTGTTCCCGCAGTTTTGCAGTTTTCTGTACGTTTGCTCCACATCAGAGGAGCATCAAAATCGGATGCTGCTTCTCCGTGTTTGGTTCTGGTTCTGGGGATGCAGAGCAGTCAACAGTCCAAGTTGCCTGAGGCACCATCTGATTGGCACTCTGAAGATTTCTATTAGAGGTGTTGAATAATTTGGAGGCCACAGTGGACACTGGAAGTGTTTTAAATGTTGTGTAATTAGCTGTGCAGAGGGGTTGAACACTTTGTGCTGAGGTTTATGGAAATGAAAGTCTCCTCATCATCTGCTCATGTTCCTCAAACAGGAGATTTAACGGTTCTGTTTGATGTTTATTTCACCATCCTGCACCCTGTCTGCTCTCTCTGCCACACGCATGCACACGCGTATAAACACGCACACACACAGGTCTGGTGAGTCACAGCATTAGCAGTCATATCGATTTCTACCTCTATGCTCCTCCTAACCTGTTGAAAGGGAAAAGTCCACCTGCTGCTGTCTGAGGGCAGGTCCAAGCCACCGCAGCAGATTAATAATCTCAGAGCTGTTTTGTAATATTATTATGACTTCATTGAATTACAGTGCGTTAATGTAATCAGTGTCTTACTGTTTCACTGTGATACACAAACCACTCCCTTCTTAACGTCATTAATCCTGTTTATCCAGTCAGCATCGACACAAATGTCATTAAATGTCATTAAGTTTCTCTTTTACTGACTTATTCGATCTTTTTGTTTCATTGGAGCTGATTGTACAACATAAAACTGCAAATTGTCCCTCTTATCGGCACCATGTCTAAATTATGGGAAATGGTCATGGCCATATTTTGGTCGATATTGAACTCATGATTATTTGAATTGATTATTCATTGCTAAGAAAAACTGTATTGCAGTTGGAGAAAAGTGAATTGCCAATGTTTATTTATTTATTTATTTATTTATTTATTTATTTATTTTGCTAAACACTGCTGCTGCCTTCACGTTCGTTTCAATGTTTTCCAGTTTTCATATTTTCATCCCCGTCTTTTTCCCGCTGTGAAGTGTTTGCCGATGCTACTCCTTCTTTCCTCCTTCAGCCATCTTTAATGTCAGACCTCAACATGGAGGTGAGGCCCTCCAGGGGGCAGAAGTGCTCATCAGTCAGGAGATATTACAAAATAAGAGAATACTCGTGAAGTAGAATGTAAAAAATAATTGTGTAATCATTTATTGTATTCCATGTCTGGAGAAATGTGGAAAATAACAAATTAGTATGAATGAATTCTTTACTATAAATTTTGCTAGAAAATACTAATTTCATTCAGAAACATAAAAATCAAAATTTCAAAACTAACTCTTTTCTTGAGCTGGTTAATACTTAAAGAAATCTTTGTTTTTTGTTTTTTTTCATACACACATTCATTCCTAATTGAAAAACAGTAATTTCCCTGGTTTTGTTGACCTGTGGCTCATTTTGATCAAAACTGAAACATCATAATCTGTAGAATGTGTGATAAGATCTGTTCTGTTTAGAGAAATTTTACTTTTATATATTTTTGAGAGCTGCTGTAAGTTACCTCACATGCTAAACATGAAAAAACAGTGAAACAGCCACTTAACAAACTGCCGTTAGTGACGTCTGCTGTGTGAACATTTTCAACCTAAACATGTTTTGTGCTTAAATGTCTTGAATGATGGTTTCAATCAAGCCTTTGGAACAAAACAATCCCTTAACATGATGCTGCCGCCACCGAGCTTCACCGTTTGTACGACGTGTTTAGGTTTGAAAGCTTCATCTCGATTCCTCCAAACATTTTGATTAAGAGCTCAGTCTTTGTCGTTCAGCTCATCCATGTTAGGAGCTTGGAAGCTTCAACATAGGAAACCAAACGGACTTAGAGTTTACTAATTCATTTAGGGAGCATGTATATATCTGAGTCTCTATGTCATTTATTGAACTCCAATATGCACAAGTGTGTGAATTCCCACTTGTTGATGTGATGAATTCCCCTTTGTTTCTGCGGTTTGGGCCATTTTGGGGCTACGGTTGAGTCACATCTGGACCAGTGGGTAGATCATCTGTGGGATAGCACATTATCAGCTGACTGCAGCGCCGTGTGATGTTTTCCCTCGCCGGGGTCAGGGAGAGTCTGCTCTCCAGTGCGGGGAACGACCCCAGCCTGACATACAGACGCTACTATTTCAGTGTTCTGGCCTCGTGGCCAAAAAGCTGTCAGCACATATTTTATCCTTTCGCTCTCACAGTATATTTTCGCCTCCCCCTCCATTTCTTTCCGGAACGCTTGTCTTATGGCAGCGGCGCATCCTCTCTGTGCACGTTGGAGGGGAATGGGCCCTGTTAATCACCCAATATGTGAAGGATTTATAAAAATCATGTATTTAAAATTCTTTGATTTGACTTTTCCGCGTGTTCTCCTGCAACTTGATTGTTTTTGTCAGAAATGTTCCACTCGGCAGCGTTCAGGGCAATTCCCCAGAGTGTTCTCCTCTAGAGACTGACAGAACTGGCATTCAGTTGTTACTGAGTCTCCCTGATAGGTGTGTTCTTCTGGACCGCACACCTTGCTTCTGAACACCCTGAGCAGCAAGTTTTCCAGGTCCAGCCCAGAACCAGCCGGACCACTTCCTGCGTGTCTGATATTTCCTTTTTTCTCCCCTCTAGATCTGTCCTTCAAGACCCAAACTGGATGATTTTTAAAAAAGGCCACTAGCATGCCGCTCTGTTATTAGATAGATTTCACAAACTCAGACCCAAAAGTCTCACATGACCCTCTGCAGCGCAGGCTCTGATTCAACCCGACAGGAATTCTTGGCACAGACCGCCCACTCCTTTCACTGGCTGCTGTTCAGCTGTCATACTCACTCACTGAAGTTTTCTCTGCTTAATCGTTCTGCGCAGATGACGGCGCTAATGCGAGCCGCAGCAATCGCATGCGGCGTGTTTGTCCGTAGACAAGCTGCGTGTTAAATGTCGGCCATGAGGCCGCGCAGAGAGCCGCCGCTGCAGCGCAACAAGCTGCGATGATTCCCAAAGTCAGGTTCGAGGAAACTGCAGGGAAAATCAGTCTGTCTGCTGGAAATGGAAGCGTTTGTCATGCTTCATTATGTTTGGCTTTCCTTGGAGCGGGTTTAGTCTCCAGTCAGTCATATCTAATACAGTTTTAATCCTGTTAGTGTATCATTTTATTTAGTTTAGCAAAAATATGGATGATGGAAATAGTGTCGCAGGTGTGTCATGAATTATGTAGCACTTGTAGTGGCAAGTCGATTTTTTTTTTTTGTTACAGCTTTTAAAAACAAAAGTCTGACATCTGCTGTGAACGTCAGAACTAAATATAAAATATCATTTTTAGAAATGCATTCATCCAGCGTTCACTGGCTGATACAGATGTTCTGTAAGTCTTGAAAGGCATGTTTATTCTCATATTTGAACATAGATTGTCTTTACATGGATTACATCAAACAAAAACTCATTGCTGTTAATTTTGTTCCAACCCAACAATTAAGGGTATTTCCACTCCTCATAGTCCTGTAGACTCTGTTCGATTGGGGACAAAAGTTGCAACATTTGTTCCATTTTCAGCTGCTGCGGTTCAGTTTCTCACTGCACTGATCAAACCAACCAAACCCTTTGAGCAACCCGTTCCCTCCTCGCCTCTGGTGGCGCTGCTTCAAGAACCACTGAAGGAAACATGAAAACCTCAGAAGAAGACTCTGAGCGCCACTTCCTTCTTTATGAAATGTTAACAAAAATTGAGTGGTGTCAGATTTTAGTGGTTGTAGGATTTCTCTTTAGACTTTGGTAAAAGACCACAAGCTATTTCTCCTGCCAGCGCGAGACCCTCACATTTTGTTGTGGTAGTTTTTACACAGAGAGCCCTGCACTGTAGTCCACTTCCTGCTTTTGAAGTGGTCTTTGGTCCACTTGTTGTTCACATCCATTCACACTGTACCAGAGTTCACTTTAATCAAACTTGGAGCGTTTCGCTGAGTGGACCAGAGTCTGCTTTTTTGGTTGGCATTAGGTTTCAAACTAGAGTTTGAATAATGCAGACTAAACAGGGCGGATGAATGCCCCCTAAATCTAAAAATAAATAATTATGACAGAAAAAAAAGTATTGAGAATATTTATGTATTTAAATACCAATAGTTTAATCAAGAAATGCTAAAATGTCCATTTTATTTTCAATTACAAAACAAAAGAAATTTTCCACTTAAAATTTTCAGCAAGATTTCTATGTTACAATGATAAAAAATAAAAACATCACAGTTTCACTTAAAATGCAAAAAAAAAATAAAAATAGACGATCAATTAGTCAGGCCATCTGCTCAGGTAGAACCTGCAGTCAGCTGTGATCATGCATGTCGTAGTTTTTAAACAGCATAACTGAGACAGGGGGCGCTCTTTTAGGTTCCATATTTTGACTGTGTGCGTCTTTGTGACTGCCGATTATTTCCAAATGGCTGATATTGTCTTTCTGTTTTTTGAGGATTTTTTCAGCCAGCTGACTGGAAGGTTGCAGCATTGATTGATTAAAAGGACTTTAAAGGACAATGAAATGACTGTTTTAGAAGATTTTCAAACCTTTCATGCATTAAGCAGCAAAAAATTAGTAATTTTTATTGAAGCGGATTGCTGAATTTCCACGGCTTCCATCAGGAGATCATCAGAGTGGAGGCAGCCAGAAAGGTAAATAAACAAATAAACACGTTCACAGTCCTGGAGCAGAGCAGACCATCACAGCCTTTCTGCTGAGAGGGGAGCGCTTGTTTACTGCAGCCCCACAGAGCTGCGGGTGGGGCTGTTTGGGTCGCCCCTGGGTGCTGCCTGCTGCTCCTGGAAGGCGGACGTGCGGTGAATGACGGTGCACATGGCTTAGTGCCACCGCTGCCACCTGAACCTCCCTACACACACACAAACACAAACAGAGGAGTGTGTGAGGTCACAGACATCAAAACAACCTGCCTGCGGCCATCTCCAGTGTCAAAATAAGCCTCTGGAAGCTTACCTGGGTTTTTTTTTTTTGTTTTTGTTTTTGTTCCCCACAGTATTAAATCCTTTTATTTCTCTCTGCATACACACTCACAGATTCTCCCTGAAACACACAAACACACCGCTGGCCTGCTGTTTTTTTTCCTCACAATGTTTTTTTTCCTCCTTTTTCCAGCATTGGGAGGTCTGTACAGTAAATCAATCCCGGCGCCGTTGCATAATGGCGTCCAGAACACCAAAAATAATCACCCTGTCAGCTGGTCCCCTCTGGCTCTCGCTGACTCCCAAAACTAGAAATCACAAGGTCCCTCTCCTGTTTCCAGACAAACAGCCGTGTTTACACGGAGCCGTGCTACGGAGCACGCTCCGCGCTGTCGACGCCATGTGGACGGTGCGCCAGCGTTTCCACAGATAAGCAACATCTGGTCAACACGATGCTGCAGGAGGAGCGGTGTGCATTCTCCACACTGCTGGTGACGACATGCTAAAAGTCTCCAGTTCCATTTATTGGAGCAACGTGATCTCAGATATGATATAAGCTTATTATATGATAAGCATCTGTGTAATCACCTCAACCTGCCTGCTTTTGGTTATGCATTTTCACGGGGGAAGTATTAAGAGTTAGTGAAGGGTTAAAATATGCAGAATTCCTGGGATTCATCCAGGTTAGGAAACAGTTTGCACAGTTAATATAAACCTACCTTTACATAGTCCCATGCTGACCTGTCATATTGACCTGGAACCAGCAGCCAGGCTGGCGGTGAAGCTGAAACTCTGAAAACATGCTTGTTTTTTTTTATTTTATCTTTCATCCAGCTCAGGTTTGTTGTTGCTCCCTTTCTCCACTCTCCGCATTTAAGTGCTTCTTTTTCTTCATCTTCCATCGCACATGTTGCCGCCGTCTTGTTGCGAAACGCAGCTTTTATTGATGTAACAGGTGCTTAGCTCGACTGTGGCAGTCAAAATACCACATCTTCTCCTCTGTTTGGCTTTCAGAGTGGAAGCTAAAGTTAGACATCTTTGAGGTTTTTCTGCCAATTGATGGAAGGTGATGCCGATGCATAATGCATGAAGAGAGGGGGAAGACTTTGTCTGGCTGCTTTTTATAGACCACCAAAGCTCTCCTACGCCACACACACTTGCACTCGCACACACACGCGCACTTCTGAGGCACTCTGCGCTGTAACCTCTCACAGATCAAGAAGGCAGGAGGCATGAGAAGAAACAGGAGTCTAGCAAACTGGCAACATTGTCGAGAATAAAAAGGAGGAAAAAAGGAAACGACAAGACGAAACAGAAATGTCGACGCGCTATTTTCAGACGGCAGGGTCGTTTGATGCTCCAACCAAACGAGAAGCATGAGGGAGGGAGGGTGGTGGTGAAGGGTGGAGAGGGAGCAGCAGGGCTCATGTTTGTCTCAGAGATGGGCTTTAACAGAAATATTTTCCACATGCGATCCTTCATGCCCTCCTTCGTCTTTGTTCCAGCGCTTCGGCGAAGGTGTCTGCAGGTCTGGTTCAGATGCGGAAGAGGAAAACAAAACGAGGGAAGGCGGCGTGCGTCGGGTTACTTGCAGGCAGAGCCCAGCTCTCCCCTGCCTCTCTCCGCTTTCAGCTGCGTTCTTTGCAAACACCATTTGCTGCTCTCAAAAGTGTGAAGTTATTTTCTCCCCATCCTTCTAATCCTTATTTAACCAGGCTGCTTGACTAAGTGCACACTGTCATTTATAGTAATGACCGAGGGGAGAAGCTGCAGGGAACTGCACTCAGGCGCGCTCACACCTGTGTGCTGCCCTGAGCCGACGCGCAGCCGCAGCCCCCAACCTCCGCAGCTTTCAGATCCCTCACAAATCCCCTCACTGCGCAGCTGTCTGCAGGAGTCCTTCTTAAACGGTTTATAGAACGGACCACCTCAGTAAATGTTTTTAAAGTTTTTCCTGTTAACCGTATTAACACCCATTTTAAAAACAGTAAAATGGGACAGAATTTCTTTGGTTGTGCCATAAAAGACACCTCATTAACTGCAGAAAGAAAACAAACCTCTTATTGCCTGACTTTATGTACACTTGTATTTTAATGATATTTTAGTTTTCAAGGTGCAAGATTTGAGGAAAACGCCACATTGCATTATAATCATTGAATACTGAGATGGAGATTTTGATCTGAGATAAACCCAGATTTGAGCCGCTGCTTTTTCTTTCTCTTTATCACAATTCAAGCTGTGTATACCAATAATATGAGATAATTTGATTGAATCATTAAAAACTGCAAGTGACGTTGTTTCACACCTATTAGTAAATGCAAAATTTTAAATAAAAATGCACCGATGGGGAAAAAACAACTTTTTTCTAGGTTCTCTATTTGAATTTTTTGAATTTAAGGTAAATCCATATCCTCCAGCTGCATTGCCCCTCGACTCATATAATTGTGATTTCTATACAAAATCACAAAATAATTATGAATCATTTGCGTTAATAAACAAGCTGATCTAGGAGTCTGCAGTAATGCTGAAAGGAGCCCATTTTGATCGTTATTCCTGCATATTTACCACATAACTGAGAGCAAACTATCTTCTGAGTACCTCCAGTGGTGAGAGCTGCAGGTCTACAGAATAATATTCACAGAGTCCAGGGTAAGTAAAATGACAATGAAGTGGATTTTTGCAGCTCTTCAATGCTCTCTCTCAAACTATCAGCATTCTGTGTGGCTCATAATTTCTCTCCAGTTAAATTTTCTCCTGCCAGGCTGAGGATTTGTACGGCAGCCTTCAGGGTCACGTTCTGCTGTCGGCGTCACCCCTCACTGCATAAAATGACTTTGTTGGAGCAGGGAAGCACTTTGCAGTGAGTGGTGCTGTAGAAGACGGGAGGAAATGGCTCTGCTCGTTACACTGAGGGGCATTAAGGTGTGAATCCCACCTTCTAAGCTTTGGGGAATCCGGGAATCTGACTGGGATTAAGCTGAAATGGTCTTAACGCTGGGGAAGCACAATTAGCAGAGCCGTGTTTTTGATCTGCAGCATTAGAAGGAGTTTCTGCTAACCCTATTGCCTCCAAAGAGTTAATAATTGGTGCAGTTTTTAATTGTTACATCATGTTTTGTTCCTAAGCATGCGTTCTGTATTAATAAAACCAAGCTGTTTAGGAAACCTTTAATCAAAATGAAGTTATTCTCAAAAATCAAGCAGTAAACTCTACCCTCCACGTGTGAAAAAAATTCAAAAAGCTGCATTTTAATTAATGTGTGAGCAGTTAATTAAAATGGATGCATCTCACACAAATTGGAATATGATGGAAAAGTTCATTCATGTCATTAATTTGGTCTAATTGCTGAAACTCATGTACTGTAAGGATTTATGACACAGAGAGTGGCTC